TAAACCGCAGGAAGGCCTGCGGGAAGGCCCAGGCATTAACATACTCGAGTAAGACAATGTACTATAATCTCGGAACATCACATTATAATATAGTGTATATTTCCCAAGTTTAATCACAAATTATCATGTACACATTCAAACAATTCGAAAGTACATAAAATATTTTCGCAAGAAAGCCAAAGAAAACAACAGAAATACAATGTAAAATAATTTCGTTACGTGCTAACAATTTTTTAACATTTATTTCAAGTTAACTGTTAGGAAAGCGCGAAAAATACGAAATATTTTGACTCAAGTCTTGAAGTGGAAGTGCTGGACCCGTGCGGGTTGACTTTTAACAACATCGTTAAAAATAACGAATTCGTAATTTAATTGGGTGCCACAACGCTAGGGACAAAAAAACAGCAAATGAATCGTAAAATGATGTTAGAATGTTGCGAAATTATCGTAGATTTTATTTGATTTGTTATTTTATTTAATTATAAGCATATTTGATATATTTTACGTATTTTTGAAGTGTTTAAATGTGAACGTGCCAATACCTTACAATAATATTATACCATATAACTTTTAGCTGCTAATGTGGATGATGATATTCTGTCAAGTTTCACTCGTGAAGACCTAAAAGATCTCTTCGATGGGGCTGGTAACTTTCTTCGAAGACGCAAAATATGGAGTATCATTGAGAATGCTGTAAGATTATAATACCTTCATATTAATTCTTGATTTATATGATGTACAGTACCTGTAATAGAATGCCATGTTTTACTCTAGAAACCCCTTGATTATGAAGTGGCTAGCAGTTTTCAGGCTCCAAACAAAAGCCAAGCATCTGGGCCTTCCCTTCCCTCTTCAGATTGTTCATCAACCCAATCAACTTCTAGTCGTTGGAATTCACCTTTAGTGTCTGTCAAACCAGAGAGCCCATTTTCTATTGACCTAACTGGAAGTAAAAATGTAGTGAAACCCAAAGTTCCCGCATTTGTAATATATTCTGATAGTGAAATTGCACATTCTGCTCAAACCAACTCCATATCAGACACCCTGATTAACAAACTTGTGCACAACACCATTTCAAATATGAGGTGTGATCTTAAGGTTCCAAGAGAGCCAACTACTTTGGAAACAGAGGAAATGGCAAAGGCCCTAATGCAAGAAATTCCCTTGCCTTGAGAGAATATGTAATGCTGATGGCCATTATGAGGAAATAAAGCCAGAAGAAAGACCTAGCTTGACAGAGGAAGAAAAAAATAAGCTACATTTAAGTATTGTTTTCAGGATTCCATGATACTATATTCCATGATATATTCCGTATATATAAGTATATGTGTATATATGTACAGTGTCTGATGTATTTTGATGTCTTTTTGTAGGCCTACATATTTTCAAGGTTAAAAAAACGAAGAAGCAATTCCATTCCCACCAAAAGGCCCCAAGGAAAAGTGCCTGCACGTTCAAACAAGGCGAAGCGTACCAAGCTTGCATTACCTGAACTGAGTAAGTTTCTTGCATGGCACAAGAAGTTGTTGTGAATCTACAGTTAAAGGGCAACAAGAGTAATGTAGTTTGTAATGCTTAGATTACCAGGTCCTGGTAAGTATACGTATTTAAAAATTTTCATAAATAATGTGTAAGTAAATTTAAGTCTATTTTCTTTTAACCTCAGTGTCCAGACATCACTGCCAATTTTTCAACCTTGAACAGGCAAAGACATAAAGTCAAGTGATTCATCCAGCAGTGATATTCCTGGTGACATGCATACGGAAAGTAATTCCACTCGTGAAACTGAAGATGTTGAAGATTCTGGTGTGGCAGACCGATGATTATAAATTATTGGACAAGGAGCAAAGAAAGGCAAGACCAAAGTCTGCAGTCATTAACATGTATCTCAACCTTGACTTTGCTTCCAGAAAAAAGATAATTAGAGATACAAGAAAAGAAAATCGACCTAGTGCAGTCTTTGAGATGTACTGTTGTTTCAAAGATCTCAATGAAGTGAGTAAAGCTGTTTGTGCTTTATTATTAGAGATTCATATTGAGGACGGGAACGTCAAAGACAAAGGCATCTTTGTACAAAATTAATAGCGAATTATGCTATTATGAAGTAAACTGCATATATATTTAGGCCTTTCAATTTTTTAACGGTTCCTTCTAAGGTATAACCATCGTTGAATACATGCAAGTCCAACAAAAATGTGCAAACGTTCTATTAGCTTATACTGCTTAAATGAGAACAAGTTCAGTATGAGGGTGACAAGTAAAAAATATTGGTTTTGTTGGGCAAAACAATTGATGTGAAAGAAAGAAATGTTGATTATCGGGCGCGAGCAAAGTGTAAACGTTTAAGACGTCTTTAGAAACACTGCAAACGTCTACTGATGCATGCATTAACCGAATAATGATTATATTGTGTGTCTACAGCCAGATTTCTAGCGCAACCAAACATCGCATTCTAGGAACAATATCAATGTTAAAATAAATTAATTGAATATTTAACTGTCAGGTTGTTGAGGAGGCAAGAAGAAATCTTGGACTTGCGGAAGGAGCCCCCGAAACGTTCATGACCAATTGTGTTAAGACACTGGAAAAGAACGTGGACAAATACCGCGACCGCGACTATTTAGTGATGGACATGCACGGTACGATTTAAAGCGGGAGGGGGGGGGTTAACATGCCATAATTGAAAATATGATTTTTGTGAATAATGATCATATTATACAGTGAATATTAATTTTAGTAAATATATTTTCAGAGAGTAAATTATGCCACTTGTTAAGCGGAATTAATTTGATGTTCAAATCTAAGTCAAAGATAAAGCAGAAAGGGGACATTATCCATTTTTTCCTATCATGTGAAGGCATCTCACGTGCAGTTGTCGCATTCCTTGCGACATTTTACTTGCTGGATATGGATTACCCAACAAACTGGCTTTGCAGTTTGTCATTTCTGCAGCAGCTTATCTTTAAAGACAATCGATACATCCAGATTGTGAAGCTGATGTTAGGAAGGCCATGGAAAAATTTCAATGTTTCACCGAGTAACTGTATGCACGAGTCGGTTTTTTTGACGTTAATCTAATGTTAAGTAGCTAAGATACTATTGCTATATCGTTCTACTACAAACTACTATTGATATTTGTTAGATTTGCTTTGACCTACAACGACCAAGAATTTTCCCTCCATGTCCTCCCTAAGCTGACCCTAGATCACATTGTGTTGAACTACTTCAGCAAGATGAAAGTTAAACTTGCAGTTCAGGTCCTCAGCAAGTCAGTCTCCATTGCTCTGCAAGAAAGTGGCAAAGATGTCGCTGCAACCTCTCAGTTCTGTGAAATGATGACTGTACCAATGTAAGGTCACTGACTGAGTATATCAGAAAAAAAATTTCATTCATCAAGCCATACGAGTCTCCTGAAGATGAGCGGTTGACTTGGTTAAAAGTTGTGTTTCTCAACTACTTGGAAACCTGGAAACAGAGTACCCTCACACGCGAAGGAAATTTCACACCTGAAGCTAGACAGAAAATGTTTATCTCTCCCCAAACGTATGAAGGCTTGAAGATTGCTGTGAACTCTCATACTGATGCAATTAAATTTCTCCTCAGTGAGAGATTTAAATATGTCCTCACAGAGAGATTTATGCAGGATGTCCTCGAAGATTATTTTGGCCATCAAAGAGAAAAAGGAAGAAGAACCGATAATCCAACTGCTCAGCAGTTTGGATACAACGATCTAACAATAGCTTCCCAACGGGATATTGCCCCAGTAATTCGAGGAAATGTTTGTGGCCGTTATGAGAAAGTAAAATGGCATCAAGTGAGCGAAGAACCAGTAAAAAAGCGTCAAAAAAAGTAACTTGTACAGGTCAGGCAGAACATTTTATGTACAATACTGTGTGCATAACCTGGTTGCCAATGTCCTCTTCATAGGTGTCACTTTAATTTTTCTTAGGTTTCACTTTGATACCGTAGTAATAATAGGGCAGAAAATTGAATGTAAAGCGAAGGTTACAGAAGCTCTGACAATCTGGGCATACACACAGTATTGTGCGCAAATCACAGTTAATGGACAAATCAGTGGCTTGGTTAACAAGCTATAATTATTTCTTTCTTTAGAAATTGATCGCTTTTATAGTGAATGAAAGAAAATGTGCATAGCATGACTGAGTCACTATGTTCACTCTACAATGAAATATATTTGCAATACGAAAATACAATTATTCCTTTGTCCTTTACCCAATACTCTTCTTTATGGGTTGATGTATTTTAGGGTGTTAGAGGCAATTAAATGATTATATCCCTAATTTTTCCTAAACAATTTATTCATTGCCATTCTTAGGCTTGAGTAATTGTCAATCATAAAAGCATGAAACATTAGGCACCACTAAAAAAGGCTATTAGGTAAAATATAATGCCTTTTAACACATATTCCCATCAACTGCTCAAACAGTCTTATCAATAAAGACACAATGTGACAGTCTAATTAGCAATGTTATTTGAATGTTGTATTAAACTAATAACTGCATGCCCTGCCCAGAGGCCGCGGAACCGGGGGGGCATTGGGGGCAGATGCCCCCCCACTTTTCGTGCAAGGGGAAAATGTGCCCTTTTTTAGAAGTAAAAGTGCCCTTTTTCTGAAATGATTTTCCCATTTTTTTTGAGATGAATGTGCCCTTTTTAATTTTAAGAAATAAAGTGCCCAAGTGCCTTATGTTTAACTGGCCTAATATTCGAGCACGACGAGATTATCTCAGGTGCATTCTTGTTTATAAATAATTTTTCGAATTATCACCGCCACCGCCGGTTTATTTCAAATCCGCACTTACAACACTAGACGTGATCTCTTGCAGTTATCAGGGCAGTTTTAGACAGGCGTTGAAAAACAGAGTAAAGCGTCGCTTTAGTCATAGGTGATAGGCTATACAGTGCAATTATTTGCTCTGAACAATTAATAAAATAATTATGTTTTATAAACTTGTATTTTTAGTTGATAAAATCTAAAAACGGAGGGTACCGTATCAGTAGTTTTGGCTTTTACGGGCTATGCCTAAGGCAAAAAAATTCTTTGACCTTGATTGCCAAACCGGATTAAAAATCATTGGGTTCGCATTGGTCAAGTGAAAAACTGACGCCTTCGCAGACGTCCGACCGCTAGCTCGATCCGTCTATAAATAGCACGTGTGCGACGCAACAATGACAAGTCATTGACAACATATCGCATATTTTCACTTATTATCATTCACGATTCATTATTTCAACTTCTTGCAAGTCTTAAGTCTATAAAGCTTACGAATCATCATGCCACGAGCAATAAGGCGCAAACGAGAGAAAGAAAAAGAGCTTTTTGAAACAGCTAAAAAAATGAAAAAACTAACAAGTTTCTTTAAAAGCGTTCCAACGGGGAAAGTTAATGAACCTGAAATCGACTGCGTGACACTTTCGGAAGCTACAGAAATTCCATCAACCGGTTTACCTGATCACCCCAATTTCAACTCAGCTTCTGATGATCGTGTCCCTACTGGCCCTACATCCATGTCAGAGTTAGTATTATCATTGCCTTCTGCCTCTACAACGAATTCTCACAACCCAACAGCGTTGCCCAATTCGACGAATACATTTCAATTTATGGGACCTACTGCTATGCCAATTATGCAAGCAGAATGTTCACTATTGTTGAACTGTCAGTGTTCGTGTTGTATGGACGAAAAGCCTCACCATCCCAACCCTGAAGACTTAAAGCGTACATCCACGAAGCAAACCATCAAAGGATCGTCAAATGTACGAACTTGTCCGCCGTCAATATTTTTGAAATACGCCTGGGTGACCTACTGCATGAGGAAAGGAACTATCGCCTGCTATTTCTGCAGAAGGGCGACCCGTCAAAACCTTATCACATCCAGTCACAACGGCGAGAATGCTTTTTGCTCAGGTCAATTTAACGACTGGAAGAAATGCTATGAAAAACTTAAAAAACATTCCCAGTCTAAATTTCACGCGGAGGCCACTGATAAAGTTTTATGCTTTGATGATGCAAGAAACGATATTGGAGCAAAATTGGTTAGTGAATTGAAGGCAAGCCAGGAAACTCGGAGACGAATGTTGTTGAAACAGATTAGCAGCATCAGGCATTTGGCTCGCCAAGGCCAGAGTTTACAAGGGAAAACTGACATTGAAAGTAATTTGTACCAGTTGTTAAAATTAAGAGCGGAAGATGTACCTGAATTATTCGATTGGATTGAAAATGGAAGATATCTTAGTCATGACATTGTAAACGAGTTGATCACCATGATGGGCAACACAGTTCTGCGGGCTATAGTTGCGGACATACGCAAGGAGTCACAGTTATTTAGCATGATTGCGGACGAGTCTAGAGACGTCAGTAATAAGGAACAATTGACTTGTGTTTTGCGCTGGGTATCTACAACCGATTTATCAGTTCAAGAAGAATTTCTTGGAATGTATCAAGTGGAGAAAACCGATGCGGAAACAATAGCCACTTCTTTAAAAGATATTTTGCTGCGATGTAATTTGACGATTGCGAACTGTCGGTGGCAAACATATGATGGCGCAGCAAATATGTCCGGCGGCATAAGCGGAGTTGCAACCAGAATATCTTTGGAGAATCCCCGCACCCTGTACATTCACTGTGGAAACCACGCTCTTGATCTAGCTTTACATGATTGTGTGAAGGCAAGCCAAATCGTCAGTGATTCGTTGACGTTTGTGCAAGAGTTGGCCGTATTTGTTCGAGCTTCACCAACACGAATGGCTCAATACCAGGAAATCGCTACAGAAATTAACGACGACGGCTCGAAAGTTGAGAACCCGCATTTGTTATGTCCGACTCGGTGGACGGTAAGAACCAAAGCCATCTTCGCTGTCTTGCGTAATTATGAGTCCTTGCATTCCACATTACTGAAAATTGCAAAAGAATCCTCCAAGGCTACCGTGCGTGATACCGCTTCAGGGCTGGCCACCAAGTTACAGAAGTTTGCCACATACTTTGGATTACGTTTTTCGCAGAATATCTTCAGCGTCTGTGAACAAGTTGCATCTACGTTGCAGAAGCCTTCCATAACCGCGCAAACAACAATTACTTGTATCAAATCCTTGAAGACCAACTTACAACGCCAACGAGATGACTTCAACCTGTTTTATGACCAAGTAGTTACTTCAGTCAAAACCATCGCCTTCGTAAACGGTCCCAAACTTCCGAGATCAAAGCAAGTTCCTCGGCGACTAGAGCATGGAAATGGCAATCAGCATAATTTCCAATTCGCGGAAGAATTCTACCGCGCCCAATGTGTTGAAGCTATTGATATCTGCATGGCAGCATTGCAGGACCGTTTCGCTCAAGACGTTTACTCAGTGTTAATGAACATTGAAACTGTGCTCATTAACGCGGCAAATGGGAAAACATTCGTATTAGATGACGAAGTCAAACGCCTTTATGAAGAAGACCTTGATTTTAACCAGCTAGAGGCAGAGTTAAAGCTTCTCGAAGGAATTATCTCGCAGAGACTTCCTGAAGTTAAGAAGGTAACATCAATTGACACCATTATGACACTATTTTCAACCGATACCACTCACAGTGCGCAGATCAACATGGCAATGTCAAACGTTGTTCGACTTTTGCAGATTTACCTTCTTGCTCCAATGAGTGCAGCCTCCGGAGAAAGATCTTTTTCAACCCAGCGCATCGTGAAAACGTATCTAAGGAGCACGATGACGGAAGCACGCTACTGCAACCTTATGACTTTGAAAGTAAACAAAACAAGAACCGATAAACTAGATTTAAAGTTAATTGCTAAAGACTTCGTTCTCAAAAACGAAAAAAGAGTTAGATATTTTGGAAAATTTCAATAAAGTTACATTTAACCAATGAAATTTTTGTTCTAATTTGTGTAACATATATATATATATATATAATATATATATATATATTATATATATATATATAATATATATATATATATATATATAAATATATATATATATAGTCTGATGGTCGCCTATGTGTGTGACACGCGATCGAGTATACATATTGCCCCTTTTCGTCAGTGCCCCCCCACTTTTGACATGCTTCCGCGGCCTCTGGCCCTGCCTTAAATTGGTTCCCGAATTTTTGAACATTGAAACAATAGAAGTCAATCAAAAGTGTTTAATTAATTAGTGTTTTTACATTACTATAACTTGTGACAAATCTGTATTTACGGTAATTATATAGCTAATTCAATGAGGTTGTTTTTTCAAAACATCAATCCTCTGAGCACAAATGGGATGAACAGTTATTGCTTATATTTAAGACTTTGTTCTACTAGGCAATTTTTCTCACCTAGGAAAACCTTTATGATGTCAACCCATGCATTTTTTGCATGCTCATTGTTGTCAGTTTAATGTTTTTGAAAGGACAACATTAATTGAATTACAGTAGGTGTAAAATATATAAACAAAAAGTTTTTAATTAGAGGGACTCAATGGTTTTTGCCTCATTTTAATTCCTTTTGTAATGCCTTATTTTTCATCTGTTTCTCTTTTATTTTATATTTGCTAATATAGTCCCTAGCATAGGAAAATGACCGAACACGAATATACAATTTAACAATATTTTCCAGACATAAATGTTGTGTAGAACTAGATTCGTCTATACCAGATTCTAGAACAATGTTATCCCAGAGTGATTTCACAACTGGAGAGTTTAATGTTGACTCACAGATGATATCCACTGGTACATTTCGTAACACATGTTCAACATCAATATTTTTCCTGAAGCAAATCTCAGCTTCTTCTACAATTCCCATGAGATGATGGCTGGGAGAAACAAGACCTCCTCTGCTACGAGCAAGGATAAAGTTATTGTCAGATTCAGTTGACTTTAAAACATGTAATAGAGCTTGCAACTCACTGTCACATTCATTCCGATTCTTAGGTCTAGCCTTTTGGTATAATTTGGAAACTATATACCCTGCGACCAGGAAAGAGGGCCACGTTCTGATGGATCAAGTTTTAAATTACTCCCTTCAGTTGTTTCTGTTGCTTCAGCTACCTCCTTTTCACGATGTTGGCAAACCTTGAAAAACCCAGCCAAACGATCTGGTATCTCTATCATGATTAAATTCGCAGCGTTATAATTTGGACAATTTAAATACTGGCTCGAATTAGGAATCAATCTGTAGAATGCTTCAAGTAATTTGTCTTGGTTTCTTTTGCGACAAAATTTATTGTATAGTGGCAGTACAGCGTCAAAAAGAGCTTTGTTGCAAGAGGCATTTTCAATGGCGGTATTTATCTCAGGACCATACAATCTTCAGCGATTAAACGAACTTTGATTGCCTCAACAATACCAGCTAGATGTTCTAATGAAAGACTGACTTCTTCCGATTTGATTGCCTGAATAACATCTGCTCCGCGGTGTTTGGAGTTTGTGTGTTTAGTTAGGCCACCTTTCGACTTACAAACTTTTGAGCAATCCGAACAAGGAAAAGATTTCTTGCCTTCGATTTCTGTCACGGCTTCGAGAAACTCGGCATCGAGTTCGTCCGTTTCGGTGTCTAAGATTGCAAGCGATACATTTATATTGAAGTCTTCAATTGACTCCTCACCTTCATCTTCAAAACCTTCTGTAATATCCTTAGGAGAGTCCTGAATGTCACCAAAATTAGATTCCTGATCGCTATCCGACATAACTGTTGTTTTTCTGGCCTTCACAGCGTGAAATGATAGTAATAATTCGAACAGAGAGTTGGATTGTATCAAATTTCACTATATCGCCATATTGTATTTCACTCCTGGCATACCGCTTATTGATCACGTGACAAAAAATAAAAGTGGTTCCCCACATAAATTTCGAAGGCCTTTGAAGTTTGCCGGCTAGCCTAACCATCCCACCTCCATTAACTGTGCATTTGTATACCGGGCAAGACGTTCAACGTGGAGATTTCAATTAGACTGCATGTCAACGTAGCCTAATCTGCACGTTTCAGAAGTTCAAGCAAATCAAAGCATTGAACTTCTCAAACGTGCAGTTTGTAAACTGCATGGTGGGTTTTGCCCCAGTTTTTTGTGCCCCCTGTCGCTGGGGACACACGACTTTCGTCGGCCACATAACCAACAAACAGCCCCTATAAATAAAAAATGTTATTACATAGCTTTGAGTTAACTGTGAATTGGTGATAGAACTGCAGAATAATTACTCGGGTCACCAGTTGGAGAAAGAAATAGCCTAAAACATTATTGTCATATATTGCGATGGGCAGCGTCTATACTACCATCTACTATCTAAGAATAGCCCTGAAGCCATGATTATATTGTTTGTGAACCAGTGACGTAACAACTGATTATACATTACATGACAAATCATAAGGTACTGCATACATACGTGCGTTGCATGTCGCCTCTCGGTGGCCAAGAAGGCCACATTTGTAATACCGCCCTATTATCAAGAAATGATATCAAGAAATAATTGGTTTGCAGGCTACCAAAAATCTTGAGTTAACTGCATGACCATTATCAATTAAACTTTACTAACCTCTCATTTGTCCATGTAACACTAAAAAGACAAAATGTCATTTTGAGCATCCTGACAATGCAATATTTGTTGAGTAGCATCTAATGGGAAAACCGGAAACAATTGTTGTGGATATAATGAATCATACAGTACCTCTGCCTCCTCCCCCAAACCGCCCAGGGCGTGGGCAAAGAATACGTATTATAAAGAAGTGTAACTAGAGATTATTTTTGTGTCCTCAAATTTCCCCCAAATGTACACGTCATGTACACGCCACGACACTTGCTGCAAACATGGCCGCCTAAATTGGCCGCCTATGGCGTGGGCGCAAAACAACTTGTTCTTTCAGCGCCGCGAGTTTTTGTCGTCTTTATAAATCGAACTTTTTGAATTGAACTACTTCAATCGAGGATGTTGAAAACGAAATTCACAAAAAGAAGGTATGTATCATCTATCAGATTAATTTCTTAGACATTGACAGAATATATTGTGTTATAATTTATAACATTTGTATTTGGTATATAAAAACAATCCAACTTTGGACTCCCAGTATACGTATTGAACATTTTTGCTAAATACTGAGGCAAATATTCATATGTACAATCATAAAACGTATTTATATACTTCCACACCGCGTGTCATTACTGTCATATAATTTGAATGTCATTCAGTGTCTTTAATATTTATATATAAAAACATTCTATATAGAATAATATCTTAAAAGTCCTTTAAAGTTCAATTGAGTGCTTTAATTGACAGCTCCTGCTATTACTAATTGCACTAATAGGAATAGGAATGTACAACTCCCTACTATACAATTCAAATGTATTGTACATTTTCAAATTCAAGCATGGAGTTCATTACATATATTCATCATACATGATGTCCCAAAAAGTGACACTATATAATTTTTATGCCTGAGTGCTATAGTATATCTTCTTGAATTTGTAAAAAAACTCCTATATTCTAATAGTATTCAAATACCGAGAAATCTTGGTAACTTGGTTCAACTAGCAAAGAAAATAATAATTGTTTTAGCACAGATTTAATGTTTTAGGCTAAAGTTTCATCAAATATTTCATTGCATGTAAGATAATTTTTATAGTGTAAATTTTTTTGGGACACCTTATTACATTGCTTGTCAATATTTATTAATTTATGCATTTTAATTTCATATCCAAATATGCATAAGGCAATGCACAAGTGAAATGTTTTACAAATGTTGCACCTTAAAATATTTTTTGTTTTTGCCCTTTGACTTTGGCAATGACAAGGCTCTGTTTCCGAACTTCAAGATGTAATAGATTCTCAACCTGAGATAAAGCTGAAGAACATATTCTTTAGGAAAATTAGGACAAGGAACTGCCAGACGTGGAAGGTGATCAAGCATCTCAATTGCAACACCTTTCTTCTTCATAATAGTGGAAAATAACTCCATTATCTTTGTTTCAACAGCAGTGATATACTGTGTGAAATGATCTGCTGGTACGGTTAGCCCACCAAATGTCTTTGTTGAATCATACCCCTTGAAATAGCAAAATAGTTTACTACTGCTATCAAGTTCATCAGTGACAAGGTTTGAAACACATGTGTCACATTTATGTTTTTAAAGCATTTGGTAATAATGTAGCCAGCTGCATATGTGATGCCATTCATGATGTCACCAGCCTTGCTCTGATCTGTATCAATTGCAAGATCACGGTAGTCGGACTCATCCACTTGGAAAGATTGATCTTGGGACTGGGCTTCACTTTCCTTTGAAATCCTTTTAAGAGGAGACTTGAGTGACACCAGGATGCTGCCATCATCTGCTGCGTAATTCCCCGAAGACTGCTTCAAGTAGTGGTCATAAAATAGCTTTCTAAAAGCGCGACAAAACTGGATTGGCGTAGGATTGTCAGCATTGCCTCCTTGCTGACGTATAGACCCAAAAAAGTTCTCAACAGGATCTTGGTTTAGACGCCTTGTCAACAAAAACTTGACAGATGCCGCTTCAAGCTGCCTCCAAAGGAGTAGCGTTCCTCGCAATGTAACTCTTAAGGCATTAAGACATTTCAAGAGGTTGGTTACATCCTTGTTGTCTTTGCTGATTACTTGAATTTTTGGGATGAAGCCAATCATTCCTTCCATGAACTCTTTGTGTGGTGATGTTGGTGTCATAGCTCTTTTGTATACTTTTGGGCTTTGAAGGGATGAGCTATTAAGGCAGTCAAATGTTTGGTCAAGCTTCATCAAGAGCTCTGCGGTACCACATGCGGTGGATGGTAGCTTACCAAGACTGATATAGGTTGAAATAGCTGCAGCAATGTGTGGCTCAATACTTGAGTTGCCAAGTTCACCTTCATCTTTTGAAATCCGT